CGATGGTCTTAGGCGACCCCTGTGAAAGGATCGTTCGACCCCCAAAGGGGTCGCGACCCACAGGTTGAGAACCGCTGTACTAGAGATTTAGTATCTGGATTGAGTTTAGGATCTGTGGATTTCAAGTGGTTTATCCTGTCTTCTTTGTAAGTTTCCACTGCCGACTTCTGATGCTGGACCCCTTGCTCTCCCAGCCAGGGGCACGCAACCTTCTTCTCCTAGCTGGAACTGTTAAGTCCTTTATGTGCCCTCTTCTCTGAGCCTGTCTTAGGCTAGGGCTAGGGTGACGGAAAGGAAGCACCTAGGCACAACATTGAAGGAGGCGCTCACTCTGTTATTAGCAAGTACTAATACCTCAGTCATTTGCATGTGATTAGAAGTCATTAGACAAAACAACTCTGATACAAGATTTCTCCTGGCACAATGGTGCTGTTTTTATTTTGTTGTTTTGTTTTTAACTCCATCCCAACCATCCTGTTTGGAGGACCACCCTGACCCTTCAGCAGCAGGACACAGACTCAGGGATGGATTCCTGGTGTTGGAGCACTATAAGCCTGGGCTATGGCGAAGGAAGAGGAAAGGGAGGTGGGGACTGAATGGTCCCACCAAGGACAAGGGAGGAGGGCAGATAATGAAGAGGGTGGCCAAGGAAGAAGAGGGGATAGTGGGTCAGATGGAAGCAGCCAGTCACACAAGCCTTGTTGGGAGATGTGTGTCGGTCGGAGGTGTGGTGTTCCCCAGTGAGCCTCCTTGGAGGCTCCGCTTTTTCAGGCTGCTCCTGTTACGTTGCCTTTCAGAGGCTTCCAGCTGGACCTACTTGGATCTAGACACCTGAAGTCTACTCCAACACTCAGGCGCTGGGATTAGGGAACCTGCTGTGTTCAGTATGTACCATATTCAACCCTACACTGGACCTGGTCATTTGGAAAAAATGTGGTTGCCTTAGACAGTGCAGGCTGGATGGACGGCTCCAGATGGCAGCCTGCTAATCCCTAAATGGGTGGGGTTGAGGTGGCCTTTGCAAAGATGTCAAGGACTTCAGGCCTGAAAATGCAAACACCTCAACAGGTAATGTGCAGGAACCAGTCTGAGTCAAAGGAGGCCAATTCTAAGATATTGGTGTCACAGGAATCCTCAAAAATATGCCCAACTAGGTAGGGCAGGGGTGGGCAACCCCTGACACGTGTGCCAAACATGGCACGCCAGTAACTTTTGCTGGCACACAAAACCCTCTCTTATAATCTTCCATTTACCATTTTTTTCTTAATATCGACTTTTTTATTTTTCAGATAAATTCAGTGTAGGTGCATCTTAGATAAATAAATAATTTTACATAACAAATTATCTTAAAGACCATAGACATGGATTGACGAGAGAGGGGAAGAGCAATTTCTATACCTCTGCCTTAACTCTCCCTGCCTTCCTAGATCGACCAGTGTTTTGGTTTCATCCACATACGTTTGTGAATCTTTGTTCTCAGTGATGAATTTTGTTAAGTCTCATAATATGAGTAGCCTGACGGATGAAAGTAGTAGCTCGTGCATATCTCTGAAGGTCATGAAATATAAACCTGATGTAGAATCTCTGTCATCAGTGATGCAGCAGCAAAAGTCCCACTGATAATATCAAATGGAGTCATAAAGTTTTCTGTCGGACTATCAGTGTACATGTATACATTAAAAAATAAATGTATTTTTCATCATCATATACTGTGTTTTTGTCACTCGAATGAATTTTATTATTTCTTCAAGGTTCTTCACATACGTACACTTTAAGAGATATCAAGTAGGCGTAACATGTTCTCAAAAAATTAGGGTTGGCACGCAGAAGAATTTTGAGTCAGAGATTTTGCTGGTTTTGGCACGCACTCACAAAAAGGTTGCCCACCCCTGAGGTAGGGCCTCAAACTCCCAGCATTGCCAAGAATAATTTTTTTCTTATGGAAATGAATAGATTTTTTTAAAAAAAATTAGAAAGAAAGGGAGAAAGAGAGAGAGAGAGAGAAAGAGAGAGAGAGAGAGAGAGAGAGAGAGAGAGAGAAGATGAGAATCATTAATTGGCTGCCTTCTGCACGCCCCACACTGGGGATGGAGCCTGCAACCCGGGCATGTGCCCTTACCAGGAATTGAACCATGACTTCTTGGTTAATAGGTCAATGTTCAACAACTGAGCCATGTTGTCCGGACAGAAACGAATAGATTTTGAGTGTCATTCCTAGCCAGGCATGCCAATGTCTGTGAGCTCCTTTCTGAAAGATGAGCTGCTTAACTGCTCCAAAGAGCTGACATGTTTTCAGAGCCCCAAACTAAAGCTGGGATCTGGAGTCCAATTTGCATGATTCAAGTGTATTTAATCAAAGAGGGGGCACTTGTCCTTTGATATGTCAGCGGAGGAAAAGGAAGTTGAATCTCACCCTGAACTCATACTTCCTGTCCTGGGGAAAGTAATAAGAGGGTCAGACCCTACACCACCCCCATTCCTTTGGCAGAATATTGATCTGATGTCCTTACAGATAACCTGGGAAGGACAAGATTATCAAAGGTCATCATTCCTGCCTCATCAATCTTGAGTGAGCAATGGTAACTCAGGGGCCAGGCCAAGGACTACACGCAATCCAGGGGAGGGGTGCAAAACTAATCTGCTACACCCATTAAACAACAACTCTGCATCCCTCCTCCCCCCAAGCCCCTGGCAGCCACCATTCTACCTTCTGTCTCTATGAATGTGACTACTCTATACCTCATATAAATGAAACTATATAGTATTTGTAGTTCACTTAGCATAATGTCCTCAGAGTTCATCCATGTTGTAGCATGTATCAGAATTCCTTCACTTTTAAGGCTGAGTAATATTCTATTGTACATATATACCATATTTTGTTATCCACTCATCCATTGATGGACACTTGGGTTGTTTCCACCTTTTGGCTATTGTGAATAATGCTGATATGGACATGGGTATACAATATATCTTTGAGACCCTGTTTTCAATTCTTTTGGGTATATACCAAGAAGTAGGATTATTGCATCCCATGGTGATGTTACTTTTAGAGAAACTACCTGCTGTTTTTCATAGTAAGGTATGCCCTCTTCTTTAATGAACTTTCCACAAAGCCCCAACTAGTGAGCTTCATCCCCATCTCATGGGTTACATTGAGACATGTGACCACCTCTGGCTGCAAGGAAGTCTGAGAAAGGATGTATTTTCAACTGGGCATAGAACAAACATTTTTTGAACTGAGGGGATTCCTGTGTGTATGATGGTCACTCTGTGTCCCGGGCCAGGTATCTGGGTCTCAGCTGAGCCTGTCCTACAGACCTGCTGTCTATCCCCTGCCCCAGGTGTTTGCCCTTTCTGGGGGATCAGTGCCCTCTCAAGCCACTCATGAATGAGAGCCATACTCATTTCCTTCCCTCTTGACCTGTTCTCTTGAACACTGTTATTATAACTGTCTTTTGACTTTTATCCAAAGTCTCCTCTCTCCCCCACTGTGCTGTTCCTTCACTGTCCATCACAGCTGAGTCGTGCCTTCCCAGTCAGACTGTAGTCCTCTGGGACAGAACCTGTGTCACCACAGCAAGGCACAAAGCACAGAACTGACTTTTGAACAAGGGAAGGAGAGTTAATTCCTCTAGGGTTCTGCTGCAGGGCTCCTGGCTCTCTCAGCCTAGGGACACCTCCCTCTAGATGCTTTTCCCCAGGATGTGGGGCTGTGTGGGGGCTGAGACTTTCAAGGCCAGGCCCAGGCAGCACAGGGCCTGACAGGGCAGAGGGAGCAGTGTGGATTGATGGGGAGGCTGATGGTCTCCAGGGACACTGAACCAGATGGCCTGGCCTTGATGCCCTACTCCCTGCTTCCATCCCTAGGAGCAACCCAACAAACAGAGCCGCCATCAAATTTATACTCAGGAATGCATGTGCACATAGACTAAAACACAGAGTTGCTCACATGTTTACAAATACACATGCCCATGCACCACAACCACACACACACACACACACACCACAGAGTTAAGTTTGAATTCAGCACTAAATTCAAAGGGGCAAATCTGGTTCCTCAAATCCTGGATATCCTCAAGCAAGTTACTTAATCTCTTTGTGTCTTAATTTCCTTATTCATAAAGATAATAGATGCTATGATAAAAATAACATTTACCTGACTGAGTTGTGAAGATGAAAAGAGAGAAAATGGTACAGAGCTTTAAAACAGTGGCTGACATGCAGAGATGCATGTGTCCATGCATATTTTGTAAGTCCTTCTGAGATACATCTACTGCCACTTGGTGAGTACATTTCCCTGACATCAAAAGCACAGCGTGAGACTCAGTTTTCGAATCTGTAAAACAGGGATAATATTACCTGATGGACTGTTGTGAGGATCCAGAGGCCCAGCAGGGAAAGACCCTGGCCCACAGAAGCCTGTTCCACTGTAGCTGTGACTGTCTGTAACTGTTGAAGAAAAGGTCCCAGAACAGGTGCAGGGAGGGAGAGGCCAAGGCAGAGTCTGGACCCCATCTCCTCCCAGGCTGGAGCTGGGTCTTTTAAGGACAGAGCCCAAGGACAGGGGAGTCAGAGCTGCTTCCCTCTATTGGAGCAGCCTGGTCTGGCCAGCTCCCGTCTTGCGGCTGGGGGTAGGGCTGTCCAGGGGGCCGTGGGTGGAAGGAAAAGAGGAAAACCAGCTCCGTGGAAATTACCCTGCGGTTGGCTCAGGCGCCCACGACGCTGTATTTATAGAGCAGTTCTTAATTCCTCGCAGTCGAGTTAACCCTTTCCAGGCCTCGAACCAGCCTGGGGTCGGACAGCGCGATCTGCGCTCCCGCTCAGCCGCCAGTTGTTGGGGAGGGGTAGAAAGGGGGTTCAGTGACTAGTCACCTGTCCCCCTCACAGAAAATAAACTTTGTACCCTGGGAGTGTGGGCGGGGGGCGGGGGAGGGGCAGAGATTAGACCTGCCCCCTTCCTAGGGCGATCGGTCTCCCCACGTGGTCTGCACTGGGCTTAGGGGCGGGGTCCAAACCCGGCGTCCTGCCCAGCGGGCGGGCTCAGGCCTTTGCTCCAAACCCCCGCCTCGGGGCCAATCCGGCCTCTGGGCGCACCCCGCCGCTTTTCCGGGCCCCCGGCTTCCTCCAGCCCGCCCCGCCCCGCGGGCTCCCGGGCCGCCCCCCGACTCCCATTCGGTCCGGCCTCCGGTGGCGGCGATCCGCAGCTCCAGCTCCGCTGAGCCCGGGATCCCGGGAGTGGGCGCGGCGCGGCGCGGTGAGTGCTTGCGTGGCGCGGACACGGCGGCCTTTGTCTGCGGCCTGAGCCTGCTGCAGGGCCGCTGGAGCGGCCGGTGGGGCGTCCCCCTCTCAGGGCGCTTCCACCGGCCTTCTCGCCGGTCCCGGGCTGGCCTTCGCGCGGTGAGCACGGGAACCAGGGAACCAGCGTCATCCCCGACCCCCGGGCCCCGGGGCCGCTCGAACCCAACCCGGCCTTCACCTGGCCTCCCCTCCCTCTGGCCCCGGGGGCTGGGGCACTGTGCCACCGGCCCTCACCCCGCCGCCGCCGCTGGAGGAGGGTGGGTGGGTGGTCCTGACTGCGGAGGTCCCGGGTGTGCACGGGGCAGCAGGCAGAGCTGTCACTGTGTTGGTGCCTGGAAAGCTTCACCAGCTGGCTGGAGCCAGGAGGGTAGCAGTCTCCTGCGCCCTGCGGAGGAAAACTTCCTGAGCAGAGTTTGAGGAGGGGAGCTGCCTGGGAGGGAAGGGGGAGTGCTTAGGGTCCACCCTGTGTGAGCTGGAAGGATGAAGGAATGGATGACGGGAGAACTTTCATTCAGGCGGCAGTGGGCCTGAGGGGGACAGATTCTGAGAACAGGTAGGGGCAGCTGGCCTGGGTGAAGGGGTGAATAGGTATTGGGGGAGGGAAGAGACAGAAGGACACCAAAGAACAGGAAAGCACAGGGGTGGGGTGGTTTGGGCTTGGGAAGTCTCAGGGAGGTGGTGGGTGAGGTTGGGTGGAGGGAGGGAAGGTAGGGACCAGGGCAGGGGAAAACTAGGGGGGTGGGGATTGAATTCCAGGTCCCAAGACCCTCACTTGCTGTTCAGCCAGGGAATTGACAGGTTTGGGGGCCTAAGGTAGTGAACTGCAAGAAAAGAGGATTTATTTCAAAGGGCAACCTGTCCTAATAAGAAATGTGTGGTGGGTGACGGGTTTGTTATTGAGAGAAAACGTCAAGCAAATAGTAAAACAAAAAAATTGAGGGGTGGGGGGAGGTGGTGGTGATTGACTTAATTGAGAAAAACTACCTTAAAATGGTATGTGGATAATTGTAGATGAGTCTGATTTTGTAATTTATTTAAGGCCCTGGGTCCTCTCCTTGCAGGCATCTTGAGCAGTGAGTTTAATGAAGCGCCTGTCTTCAAGAGAGTTCTTTATTTAGTTCAGTTCCTGGCTAATCCCTCCTGGCCTCCCAGAAATTCCTAGGAAATCTGATGCTGTGCCGCCCTCCTTATAGTTTGGGTGCTTTTGGAGGCTGAGGGAAATTGAAGTCTAAACTTGACATTGAAGTTTAAACATGTGGGATGGGTCAGTCTGATCTCAGTGGCAGGGAAGGGTGAGGGGCTGTGGGGTTGTGGAGTCTGAGTGGACTATTTTGGGTGAGTACATTTCCCTGACATCTGAAGTTTCCGAGTTTAAGCACTACCACTTCTGTTAACTGTTGAGCATGGAAATCTTTCTCCCCACATGATGTACAGCACAATCTGACATCAGGACACCCATTTTTCTTCATGACTTCAGGTCAGCACTGAGAGCATTAGTATTTGCACTCAGGGGTCATAAGACAAGGGGACTCTTGGAGTGATCTTTTCATTCAGTGGCTTCAGCGATGCTTTTATTGGTCCCATGACTGATCTTTGGAGTTCTTTTCTCTCTTCAATGACCTCATTGGTAGTTTCTCCTGCCTGCGTGCTCTGAGCTTTCCAATTTACTTCAGACTCCTGTGTTCCAAGAAATCAGACATCCAGCTTGTTAGAGGTGAGCAGCTTGTGTCAATGCGATGAGAAGGATGCCACACTTGAGGACTGCTTTCCTTCCTGTCCCTGGTCCTCTGCACCTAATGGAGCAGGTGCTGGATGTCTGGGATGCTCAGATGCCTGGCATCTGGGTGCTTGAATGACTGTGGAAAGGACAGTTAGAGAAGTGTTGTCTGTTTTGAGGAGGCTGTGTCCTCATTACTGGTGAAGTTGACTTCTGAGTCTTCCCGTGGGAATTCTCACATCCTTAAACTTCGGTCTTCTCCAGAGTCGCATCTTCATTCTTTGGAGCAGGATTTGGGTTTTGCAATGACCTGGACATTACTGGTTGGGGTCAGAGACACAATGTGATCATAGAGCCATGAGTTGGGACTCCATAGCACCGAGAGAGACTCCTAGAAAGTGATGTGGCACAGGCACCTGGCCTGTTGCTGGCCTGTTGCTGGCCTGTTGCTGACATGGTTTGGGCTGGGTGAAGAAAATGACTTAAGTCCAAACAGCCTCCAAGTTTATGACTACATAGGGCCTGAGCCTGTGAGCCTGAGTCATGGGGTCAGGCGAAAGAGAAAAAAGGCGGGCAGGATGATGTTACTGCCCATGTGCTTGTCCTCTGAGTGGGTGGCAACTTCTCATTGCTATCCCTTTCCCACACCCCGTCAGGGCAGGACTGACAGGGAGGTCCACCAGCAAAAGAGGGAAGGAATAGCCTGGACCTGTTAGCTCAGAATGGAACAAAAACATCTGGAAGAGGGCTATTATGCAACCCTCCCTCACTTGCCATCCCCAGTCTGCCTCACCTGCAATATGAGGTTCCAGATAAGAACATTGGATTTTCAGGTTTTGGGGGTGGAGCTGTGCTGTATGCTCAATAAATATCATTTCATTTAATCATCATAACAGCCTATGAGGTAGGGTATCATTAGCACACCCATACCTCCAGGAGACACTTCTATACCCTCTGGTTCTGACCAGTACTCTGCCTCCTCCACCACCCCTTATGCCTTTTGGCCTTCCCGAGGCCTAGGGAGACTATGTTGGAGGGAAATCTGCTGGGGATGAGAAGCATTTTTTGTTGGGAGCCTTGGAGCTACAGGGAAAGATACATTCTCAGGGAAGCAGGGCTCCCAGGTCACCCTAAAGTCAGCACAGGCTCTGAGGAACTGGAACTCCTCAGGGGAGACACTGAAAGTGTGCTTGGGGGAGAGGCCCTATATTGGCAGCAGCAGGGGCAGTAGGGGCTGGAGCCTATGATGTGTGGTGCTTGACCTAGCTTCTGGAAGGAGGAAAGGCGAGAGGACTGCTAGGGGTGAACCAAACACAGAGATGGAGCTGAATTGTGCATTTTCTGCTTTGGAGCTGGGGTGCTGGTGGAGGTTCTAGGTGGAAAGGGGTCATAGGAGAAGTAATGGTCCCAGGGACCTGGATATATAGCTCGACAGAGAGGAGTATTGGCTGGGGAATGTAGGGTGGGAGGGAAAGAGGAGGCTCAGTGCAGCGGGGCCCAGGAGGCCTTGTCCCCATGACTATGGCAGTGATAACAATAATAGTAATAATTGTTACCACTGTTTGGGTGCTAGGTACTTTCCTAAGTCTTTTCTGTATATCGTCTTATTTTATTCTCATAACTAGAGGCCTGGTGCACGAATTCGTGCATGGGTGGGTCCCTCGGCCTGGCCAGTGATCAGTACCAATGGAGGGGGTGAGGGGCTGGCCAGGGGGAGGGGCTGCAGGAGGTTGGCGGGCTGTGGGAGGTTGGCTATGGGAGCGCACTGACCACCAGCGGGCAGCTCCTATGTTGAGCGTCTGCCTCCTGGTGGTCAGTGCACATCATAGCAACCGGTTGACTGGTTGTTTGGTCATTCAGTTGTTTGGTCGCTTAGGCTTTTATATATATAGATAGCTGTGGAGTAAGGATTGTTACCCTGTTTTAGAGATGTGGAATTGGTTCTCAAAGAGGTTAAGTCATTTATACCTGGTCATGTGTCTAACAAGTCTGAGTCAGAATTTGAACGCAGGCCTGCCTGTGTCTGAGCCCAAGCTGTACCCTGAGGCTGACAAGGCAGCCTGTTAAGTCATTTCAACAGATGAGGAATCAAGTCCTGGGGACACTTGAGAGCTCTTAGTCACTTCTAATGGTGACTGATGACTCAGCCTGCCCTCCTTCTCTGGGCTCAGTTTCTTATCTGTGCAATGGGCATGGAGGTGGGCACTGAACCAGTGAATTCCAAGAGGCCTTCAAGCTCTGAGGACTGGAGGAGCCAGCTACACTCCTGAGGGGGAATCCCTGGAGAGCAAGAGGGGCTGATGCTTAAGTGAACAGGGGTCAGCAGAGTTGTTCTACTAGGATGAGCTTCTTTCAGGATAGAAGCTTAAAGAATTTAGAAGCAGGGAGGCATTAAGACAGAGCACATCTGGAGAAAATGGGTTCTTCCTTGAGTGAAGTCTGGAAAGTCTTATGGAAGGGTTGGGATTTCCAGACACATGAAGGCGGGCACCTAGCAGGATTCAACAGAGGTTGAATGGAGGCATGTATGCTGCAGCCTACCAGGAACCCTGCTCTAATTTGATCTTGCAGTCCCTCATCTCTTTCCTTTCTCTCTCCATTCCCCTTGGTCCCATTCCTTCTTCTGGCTAGACCTCTTCTGAGCTCAGTGTAGCTTTACTTTACTCAGGGTTCTGTACCTCCAATGATGTGTGTGTGTGTATGCATGTGCGTGCATGCAAATATGTGTGCATCCATGTGTGTGCATGGCTTCTGCACACACTTCAAGTTCTGAGATAGTGTCACACTGCCTTTTCAAGTGATGTTGAGTCCTAGAAGATGCAAACTCGTGTTGGGGTGGCCCCCTAGCCAAGCGATTTTCAACCTTTTTCATCTCATCACACACATAAAGTAATTACTAAAATTCTGTGGCACACCAAGATATCTATTTTTTGCCAATCTGACAAAAAAATTGGTATAATTTTTATTCATTCACACTGGTTAACTATTGTTGTGTTGGTTGTTGTCATTGTTTACTTGACAATCTAAGGGAAAAGAGGTCAGTGCCTCTGACTAAATAATGAGGTATTACATGTTTAAAAAATTCTTGTAGCATACTGGTTGAAAATCACTATCCTAGCCAGAAGAGGGTGTGAAAGGCAAACCAGCTGCTGCAGTAAAAGTCTCACCATGCTCTCAGACCCACAGAGATGGGCTAGGTTCTCTCTGGTTTTGCCTCCCCCCATTCTGATTCCCTGATT